TCTGCGCAGGTAAAACCTGCTGCGGTTGCCCCTTACTGGAGCTGCGTGGGGAAAATGGTGAACTTTTCCTCTCCTCCCCTCTGAGCCCACCCTGGTCCCCTTAGTCAACCACCTTTTCTCTGGCCTCCTTAGCACCAAGCAAGCGTAGGAGGTGACCATCAGTCTGCCAGGCACACAGCACAGCTCAAGCAGTTCTATGGCTCTACAGAAGGTCACTCCTTGACCCCTTCCTGTGACAGAGACTCCCCGAGGTCCACAGCCCGGCTCCACCACCTTGGGAGCAGAGCCATGGAGAACCCAGAGGGGTCCCTGGCTCAGAGGGAGGATTGGGGAGGAGGCAGACAGTGAGAATGGTTAGCACTGGGAGGGATTGATCCGCAGTGAGAAGCCAATGGAGCAAATCACTGCGGGGTCTGCTCAGCTGTGGCTAAGGGGAGCCTGCCCTGACTTCATTGCCTGAGGCCAGGAGAGCCAGGCAGGAGGTGGGCACCCCGGGAGACCTCAAGAAGAAATAGGAGGCAGGAAGCACCAGGAAACTGAGCCGGTTGAAGCCAGTGGCTCCTGACCCCTGCTGGGTTCCCCAGAGGGTGGGTCGTGGGTGCTGGGGGCCAACTGGGACACTGGGTACGTGGAGCCCTGGAGGTCAGAGACAGGAAAGGGGCAGCCCCAGCATTTGTTCCAACCCAAAGAAGCTGTCTGTTGTTTTCCCTCTAGAAAACCAACTAGTTTATTTTTTGAAATAAACTTTAGTTTTTCAATTTTAGATGGACAGAAAAGTCGTGAAGATAGTACAGAGGTCCCATGACCCCCTGCTAGGGTGCAAATGTGTCCCCCAAAGTTCATGTGTTAGAAACTTAATCCCCAGCGCAACAGTTTGGGAGGGGGGCCTAATGAGCGGTGATCAGGCTGTGGGGACTCTGCCCTCCTGAGTGGATTAGCGTTGCTATCGCAGGAGTGAGCAGGTTGCTATAAAGCAGTCCGCCCCGCGTGCTCTCTTGCTGTCTCCCCTTCTCTCGCCCTTCCGCCTGCCACCACGTTGCGGCCGCAAGAAGGCCCTCACCAGATGCCGGAGCCTCCACCTTGGACTTCCCAGCCTTCAGAACTGTGAGAAATTTCTCTTCTTTATAAGTTACCCGGTCTACGGTATTTCGTTATAGCAACACAAAATGGACTGACCCACCCACTCTATTTCCAGTTTCCCCCATTATTGACACCTGCCATTAGTGTGGTACCTCTCTTACAATTGGCTGCCACACCTCTGCGCTCTCAGGGGAGGCTGGGAAGAGAAGGCACTGCAGCTCTGGTGGGAGCAGAAAGACTGCAGGACCCCCAGTGAGCCGTGGGGTGCAGGAGACACAGGAGGCTGGAGAGGCCAGCAGGGAGTTGGGACCGGGTCCCAGTGATCCCTTAGATCAGACCCCTGTCCCTTGCAACGGCTGCCTCTCCGGGCCACAGCACTGGGCCCCGGGAGCTCCCCCACCATCACCAGCCCACCCTGCCGTTCTCCCAGCCCCAGCCGGACTCCCCATCGTCCATCCCCGCCAGACCTGCTCAGCAGCCGAGCAGCCCTCGTAAATCAGTCCCTCCTGCCCCTTCATCCCTCTCTTGTTCCTCGCGGCGCACTCAGCCGTCTGTCTGGAGTGAAATCTCCCTTCTGGGGGCCGGGTTTCGGGGTCCCAGGGAAGAAGACGCTCCTGGGGTGCGCTCAGCACCCGAGCAGGATTTCTCCTTGTTCTGCCCCAGTTGGGCCTGGCTGTTCAGGTCTTCCTTCATGTCCAGCCTCGCCCCTCGTCAATCGCCTGCAGGCCTTATTCACATTTCCTTCTGCAGACAGCTGCTTGCCTCCCTGCAGGGAAAATCCCCCGAGGTGGCCTTCCAGGAGGCTTTCTGGTATCTCCCTCTGACTGTCCCAATTGTCCCCTGGATCTACCTGACGGTGGGGCAGCTGCTAAGGATGTCGCCCCTGCTTGAGGAGCCTGCCTGGGCACAGCCACCTTTCCTTTGTGCTCTTATGGTGCCTTTCCCACTGTCCACACCTCTCCCTCGCAACACTATGAGACTGGCGCACAGATACCATTATTCTGTTTTAGAACGCAGAAGAGAGGCTCAGAGGTTAAACGCTTTGGCCCAAGTCCCACAGACGGACAGATGGTCAAGTCACCCTATTAGATGTTTTCATGGTCCTTTATATCATGCCTCCGAGGACTTAGGACATTTGAAATTTTGTATTTTATTTGTGTGGTTACTTGAATTTTCCAGAATGTAAGTTCCATGAGAACAGGGAACTTGGGACTGCTTTGTCCACCACTATATGCCCAGTGCCTTGCCCTACTGCATGGTATATATTAGATGCTCAATAAACGTTTTTTAATTATTGAATAAATGGACAAGTTATAGGCAGAACATTCGTTCATTCATTCTTTCAGCCATAGACTGAGTGTCAGGCCCTTTGATGGGTCCTGGGGATAAAAGATGAATAAAATATAGTCCCCACACTTGAAGAAATCAGTTCTGTGGGCAGACAGACTTGTAAGTAAAAAATTACCACACAATGCAGAAAATGCATTCCATAATCCAGGAATGTCTCAAGTGCTGTAAGAGCACAGAGGTGATAAACTCTTCCCAGGGGGTCAGGAAGGCTTCAAAGAGGAGGGGACTTGAAGGATGATTGGCAGTTTACTTCCTGGAGGAGTGGGGAGGACAGGGCGAGGGAAGGGCATTCTAGACCAAGGATGAGACCTACAGGGGAGCAGCCCAGTGTGGCAGGACTTGAAGCCAGGCTCTGGGCTTTTCCCCTTCCCCACACAGGAGCCAGAGATTTCCCAGGTGTGCCCCGCAGGCTCTGGGTCTGGGAGGATCCCATCTGGGTCCAATCCAGACTGCAAGGGCTGCCACCCTCCTGTCATTCTCCTTTGACAGTGGGATACCAGAAGCCTCATCCACAAGGGACTTCACATCTGAGCCGATTTGAAACCATCTTATGAGATTCCTTGGGCCAAAAGCTCAAATACGACCTATCTAGTCTGCTCATTCCACTCTCTCATCTTGTAATTCCATCCAACATATCATCAAGTCCATGGGTCACGGCTGTCTGCAGACAATTTCATGCGGTCTTTCTTGAGCTGTTTCTCTTGTTCACTCCTCTTTTCTTTGACAGGGATTTAGCATAATCTGTCTGACTCTGTCCCCGATACCACTACCTTTTCCATTCATTGACGTTGTTTAGGTTGAGGGTGAGATGTGCACAGGTGTAGGCAAAAAGAAGGGCGTCAGCGCTCTTGGAGGCCAAGGTGAGCTGCGGGCTTCACGGGAGGTGTGAAGGAAACAGGGCTGATCGTAAGTAAGTACCAGAGAGAAAGGAAAATGTAATCGACTGTGTGGGGCGGAGGAGGGAGTTGCAGGTAATAACCTAGGGGCTCCACATTGGGATACGTAAGTTGTGTCTGAAATGGAAGAGGGTCCCACATCATGGTGATGAATGTCATCCAGGGTGGTGTCAGCTCATTGGAGAGATGCAGGCCACTTGTGCCTCTACATTTCAAAAAATTTTGAAAAAGGAACCCAGTAATTTTCACCTAAAAATCAATTTGTGGGTTTACTTTCCATGCCACCTATTGACACATACACAAACCATCCCCACCCACGCCGGACCCTGGGAGTCCTGCCCTGCTATTTTGCGTCAATTTTATTCTTACTTGTGTCTTTACAGAAAATGGCACAGAAATCACAGGTTTAGATACCTAGAAGTTATTACAGTTCCATATTTCAAACACCTCAATATCAAGTTTCTTTCTTACTCTATGTACATTATTTACACACCAGGGGCTACAGTCTAACACTTCAAACCAACAGGGAACAAAGACAAGAAGAACTAGGGAGGGAGTTTCATGAACGGAACGAAGAAGAAATCAACTTTTGATACAGAATTAAAATCGCAGCTGTCTCAGGCCTTTCTCTGGCGAGGTATTCCCTGCAAAGGAGGGTGGGATGGTAGAAGGAAACGTCACAGGGGTGGGGGGATCGCGTGCCTGGCCTGGGAATCCGGGTCCCGCAGGCTCAACTAGGCTATGTGCCCCCATTTCTAATGGGAATGGTAAAGGCTAGGGTGGAAAGTACAGATGCAGAACCAACAGGTCCACCCACCAGCAGGCAGAAGGCAGCTCCCTGGCCCTTAGCCCATCATGGTTACTGTGTCTGTCTTATTCTAGGGGACGTGCTTCCCCGCACACACCCAGCATGAGGTGTGTGTGCCTGCAGCTTAGTGGGCTTAATGGTAGCCTCCCACCTACCCTTCCTGATGCCTTTCCCCACTCTTCTTGCGGCCAGCCCTCCACGGATATGTACAGCCCCTGGCCCACCCCCAGGCTTGACCGCTCTGGATCAAGCTGAGGACTGTGGCTTCCCAGGTGTCATTTAACAGCTGGACTGGGTTGCTCCAAGGCAGGGCACATGCGGACTGAAAGTTTGCAAGGGGCTCTGGGAGAGGAGGATCTTCACAGCAAGTCAAGGTCACAGGTAGCATATTGGGAGAGTCAGGATGCTGCAGAACACAGGGCCCTGGCAGAGGGTTTGGACATCCCCACAGGGCAGTGAGCCGCAGCCTCTGCGAGAGGTGCCCCTCGCTGCAGGGCACAGGACTTGGACTCACCACAGGTATTGTACATCACCACATGCTGTGCTGTCACCTCCCCCCTGGGAGGAACCGGTGGGGCAGGCTGGGTGTGGAGGAGGAGCGTTCCTGAGGGTGACCACTGGCAGGGCACAAGACTGAGGGTGGCTAAGGGGTCCAGGCTGAATCTGGAATCTGGACCCCACCGATGGGGGAGCAGAGGTGGCAGAGGTTGTGCCTGGGCCTGCAGGGCGGTATCATCACACAGCAAAAGCCCAGGCCCAGGCCCGCGGGAAGGAACAAGCTGAGGACTGAGGCACCCCGGCCACCGGAGCTACAGTGCAGGGGTCCGTGTCCCGGCTGTGACGGGCAGTGAGCCAATGCCAGCACAGCAGCAGGCTTTGGGCATGGGCGGAGCAGAATCCACAAGGGGTGTAGAGCTAGCAAGGGGGGGCTCTTTAGAGCAAGAGGACAGAGAGGACAGGGTGGCCGTGAACTGCGGGAGGTGCCAGGGGATTGAGCGAAGGGGGCTGGAGGGGCTGGTCTGGGGCAGCAAGAAGGCGTCTGAGGCAGGGATGCTGGGACGAGGAGGCGGAGGCTGGAGAGGTGGAGACTGGGTCGGGGATGTCTCAGCGTGGTCCAAGCCACGCCAGAACTGAGCTGTGCTGCAGACACCGGGTAAAGGGGCCTGTGGGCGAGGGGAGGAGGGCAGAGGCCAGGCCTGGGCCCTGCCCCAGAGAGCAGCTCCCAGCACCACAGGCCCGGAGGAGAGCAGAGTCTTGGGGCTCCGGCGTCTGCACGCCCCTTGACCTAAGCCATGTCCTCAAGCTGCGGCGGACTCAGCCTCTCCGCCGGCCTGTCTTCGTCCACGGGCTCCTCCTCTGGCTTCTCAGCATCCCGGGCCAGGCTGTCCGGCCCAGACACAGTCCCCAGCACTTTGGTGCTGTGCTCCTGAGCTTTGGCTCGGAGCGCTGCGATGCTGTTCTCCCTCAGTTCCTCCTGGGAGATGGCCGCCTGCGGGTCGGGGCCCCGCTCCTCCTGCTCCATCTTGTCGAGCTTGGGCAGGGCCTGACGTTCCACCTCGGGCTTCCTCCCCGACTCGGCTGCCGCCTCCAGCGACTTTTTGTGCATCCCTAAAAAGAATTGTTGGTATTCGGGTTTAGAAAAGCGCCTGGGAAAGCCATCTTGAACTGAAAACGGCAAAGATAGAGAGAGGCCAGAATTAAGGACGAGAAGAAAGCCTTACTTCCCACGCCGCAGTCGCGCAAGTCCCAGGGCTGAGTCCCAGGCCGGGCTGGGGTCAGGGGACAGGGAGGTGGGCCGGGGGGAGGGCTGCAGAACCGCAGCTGGGAACCAGGCCCTCGGAGGACTCCTCCACAACCCCTGGGCACCTGGCCCTGGGCCGCCTGTTTTGTCCCTTAGGCCATAGCATTTGTTCCCCCGTCCCTCCCTCTGGGGATTCCAGATCTCACAACCCCAAGGTAAGCTGGTGCTGTTACCAGACATGGGCCCAGATGGCAGGTGGGGAAGGTAGCAGGTGGAGCCATTGGGGGAAAGAAGCCCTTTGGGCAAAGCCAAAATGGTGGCCAAAGGGACCAGGGGTCCCCTCAACCCCCAAGGGGACTGTTCCATTCGCAGTTCCATTCTGGCCAAGGGAGGGAGGAGTGCAGACCCCAGGGCCACAGCCACACCCTCCTCGCAGGATCCGCAGAGAGACCCATCCAGGATGAGAGTCCCTGGCACCAGTAGGTAGGTACAAAGGATGGACACCAGGCCCCAGGCCCCCCTGCCCTGAGTCCCCCAAGGTAGACTGAGGGGCCTGCATTGGAGGGCTGCCCTCCCTGCCCCAGGGCTCTGTCCCCTCCTCCAGGGAGCCCGCTCTCCTCACCGAAGGGGCAGGGCCCCAAGGAGGATGCGGGCTCTTACCCAGTAGCCACGGGGCACAGGAGTCCATGATGCCATCCTTGGCAGACTTGAGGATGGACTCGGGCAGGGGGATGGAGTGCCGCACCATGGCGCCGTAGAGCCCGTACTCCGCCATGACGCTGCTCCGGCCCCAGCACTTCTCCCGCTTCCTCCACTTGGCTCTGCGGTTCTGGAACCAAACCTGCGGGCACAGAGGACAAGTCAGGGCTGTGCCTCTCAGGCCCTCACCCTGGTGTCTGCCTGGAGTGAAGCCTTCTCCAGCGGACACCCTTAGCTACTCGCACCCAGCCGGGGGTGCCCGGGCTTCCTCCAAGCTCAGGGGCTGTTCAGACGGAGGAAATCGGTCCCGTGAGATGGGCAAAACGAGGCCTTTTTTTTTGTTAATTTGAAGCAGTTCTAGGGAGATGGGATAGGGCCACCTCCTGGACAGAGTCTTGCAGGTGGGCAGGGTGGTTTTCAGTTTGCAGCTGAGAAGCCTGACCCGCCCCTGGCAGCTGCCCTGCACGTGCTCACACCTCCAGCATATAACAATCTCTTTCCTGATTTGCAGAAGGACAAACACCTTTCCCAGGACTGGACTTGCAGCGTCTCCGCCTTAGGGCTCCCTCTCTGCTGCAAGCCCAGAGCCAGAGTAGTCCAGGAAGCTGCAGGTGAGTGTGAGCTCAGGGAGCAAAGGGCATTTCATCCAGGTGTCAGGAAGTAGGGAGGGGACACCCCCAGGAGGCCAGGGTCAGCCTCCCTCCTCTGCCCTGTCCTGGCTGAGCCCTGCATGTGGCCTTTGACCCCCAGTTCCTCGCTCTCGCCAGTTCCGGGCCTCACTGAATGACATCGGGGAGGCTGGGCAGCCATCCCTCCCGTCAGGGTGTGGAGACAGCATTCCGCAGGGCTGAGGAGCTGCGGGATGCTCCTCTGGCTCCAGAGCTGATTGTGCAGGGTCTGAGTGAGAGCGGGGTCCCCTGGGGGCCTCCGCAGCACTCTCGCCATTCTTGAAAGAGATCCCAGATTCCCTGCCGTGTTTGGGGAGGGAGGATTTCTTGGTCTCCCACAGCAGCTTTCCGGAGACTCCAGCAGCTGATGGAGCCAAGAGCTTCGCCTCCTTGGTCTTCCAGGAGGCGGGAGGCCCGCGGGAAACTGGCGGCGCTAGAAAGACGCCAGGCCCGGCCGGTGCCTTCTTAGCCCCCGCAGCCCTGGGGCCCAGACCCCGGGCGGGAGTCGCCGAGGCGCCCAGGGAAGGAGGGGACGGGAAGAGGACGGGCTCCCGGAAACCCATCCGCTTCCCCCCGGTTCCCTCGGTGCCCCCCACCCCCGTCCGCCC